GGCGAAATCGGAAAATGGCCCCTGGAGTCCTAGACATGGATGCCATGCACAGATCGAGAAATGAAAAACCTCAGGGGACGGCAGAAAAAAAGTGGCAAAACCGAGCCATCATTCCTGGTGCTGCTTCACGCCACCATCTTATCTGGACCCTGCGGGCGACTTGACCTTCAGTGCACTTTGTTTTGCTTTACAAATTATGATTGAGATAGATAGCGCAGCAACCCAGCCATTTTCCTTCTAATCCACATCCGATGCACTTTCCCTGCCAGATATCTACTTCTTTTTTTTTCTTTTTTTTTTTTTACTACTTGTTTCCTGGCAAGTTGTGGAAGGTGGGTGTATCAAACGATAAAACAATTTACAACAACAACGCTGGAAAACTGTTCCGCTTCACTAATCCCAGCTCTACTCAGCCTCATGGAAACCACTAAAGGCCAACCAAGAACAGTTGTGAGAGTGAGGAATGAACCAAAAACCAACCTGCTGGCTTGAATGATCACAATCATCAAAGCTTGAGCAATCCCGAAACAACTATCTCCCTTGGATAAGGTTGATGATGTCTCAGCAGAAATCGTTAACCAGGCAATCTCTCGTTCCCTGGATCCTCTTCCTTTCTCCACTTTTCTGACACCTAAAGCCCAGTATCGGCGGATTTCTATTTCAACGAGCACCTTTTCAGTACCGCAGCTGAAAAGTTCATCCCCTCCCACTCTCTAATCCTGAGAATCCTGATACGTCAGTCCATATGCCCCAAATAGGATCAGTTCGCCGGGATGGAGGGCTTACACAGGGGCTTTCAAAAAAAAAAAAAAAAAAAAAAAAAAAAAGGATCAGTTTGCCGGAGTTCAAACATGTTCCTGCGGACAGGGGTGGTGACCCAACACCAAGGCTCTTTGCAATCCCACCACCAGTACCTCCCAGACTCTTTTTCACAATGCAGATTTGCAATGCGTTAAAGAAAAATGACCCCAGCAGTGCACTTTTCGTTGTTTTTGCTGGCACCGCCTGCCAATTTGGTGTCTGCTCTTACCAGCACCACTATCACTGGCGGGGGTTCTTTTGTTATAAAAAAAAAAAATAAAAAAAAATGGTCCGGTAGCACGCTGTTCCTCCCAAATCATCAGATTGGGTCCATTCTGATTCTCAAGTCGCCTAAGGAGGGTACTTGTGGCGGTTTAATCCTCCTTACAGCATCCCAATCTCAGCAGATCATTACATCTTTAGGGTGGCATAGAAAGAGAGGTTCAACAGTCTAACTGATCGATCTTAATGGGAAAGGTGACTGACATGACTCATACCAGTGTGTTCCATCTGATCGCAATTTAGTGCTGTTCTAGAGATAATACAGTCAGTCAGTACTTGAAATAGACCTGTGGACATTCTGCTAGAGGATCATTCTGGTTTTGACTGGTCCTGCAATGTTCTTCTCCGTGCAAGGACCAAGCCATTATATATATAGCCTCCTTAAAACAAGTCAGCATTCAGATTCTTGGCCCATTAGTCTCCCTCTTTTTTTGGGGAGGCAAACATGTTGGAGTCGCACCCAACGTTCAGAATAGGCAATATTTAGCAGTTCCCGGAATTATGGTGCAAAAAAGGCGACCCCCCTAAATCTGCCAAGCGCCACTGCGGGTAATGACTGGTGCAGTTTTAGACCCCCGCTAAACTTGCACATTTCAGAAACTCATACCATGACACCGCTGCCACTTTGTCTTTTCTTGCCTATTTTAAACTACAAGTGTGTCACAGCCACAGTTTCCCCTTCCTTTTTTTTTTTTTTTTTTTTTTTCCCGTTAGTCTCTTACAATCACCCCGAGAGAAGTTTTTATTCTCTAACGTCCTTTGGTAAGCTGCACGCCGAAAGTCATCGAACTTCGCTAGATCCTTCCTCATTTCCACAACCACTCTCTTTCATCCACTCTAGGGAGGGACCATGTTCCACCTCCCAACCACCATCCTAAGAGGTGCTGTTCTTAAAAGTTAAGTGTTTCAAAGAGCAGACAGTTGGTCCAGGGCATTCAGCTTATTAGGTGGAAGGATCATGTTCCACTTCCCAATCACCTAAGGGAGCACTACTGAGCTGAACTGCTAAAATGAGGTGAAAGTTCAAACACAAATTTTAATCTGAGGGCATTCAGCTTAGGTGGAAGGATCCAAAATCGCTGGACTCCACCTCGACTGTGGCTGGGTAGCCGAGGCCCCTGCTACCGTACTTATTGCATGAGCGTCCTCGGTAGTCATTCTTCGAAAGGAGGAACGGCTTGGGAGTGAAAGGTAGCGACTCTATATCTGACAGTGGCTAAAAGGCCCTAAACTAAAGCCATGCTACAAATAACTTTAGCTCTGCAGAGGATAGAAACCCACTTATTCCTCCATCGGACTAACTTGGTTAACGTTGGTTCCAACACACAATGGGTCTCGCTGCACCACTGTCCACTCTCCGATTTCGGAGAGTTTTTCATGGCTGCACTAACTATCCGATTCCGCCATCGAAAAACCCTCGGATACGTGTCAGAATCCACTATAGAAAAGCACTCTCCGTGGGCCGAGAGTGCCCAGCCTGCAAAATTCGTTACGCGGATAGACCTTTGGAGAACTGACCGTAGGACCTCGAATTTGGAGAGAGTGCCCGGAGTCTGGGCGGACAAAACGGAGGTGACGCCGTATCTTCATCTGCTGTCACGATGTCTCCTAGTGGGCTTAGGAATCGGAGAGTAGGAGCGTGGATAGTAAGTGCAGCGGTGATGGAAAAAAACCCTACTTCGGAAGTTCGGAGAGTTTGGTGATAGACTGTTCTGCTGGACTCTCACCAGCTCGCTAGGATGGCAGAACTTCTTCGACAATCTGCAAAATCCCCTATCAATGCTTCAAGTCGTAGTCCTCTTCCAGCGCTTGTCGTTGAAGCACAGAATGATCGCATAAACGTCGAGCATGAGACACAAAGCCATGCAATCTGCTGTCGCACTTTCAACCTTGTACGTAAGGATAATGTTTGTTTTCTCTCAAAAACAAAAAGCGTTTTTTTTTTGGTGAAAAGAATAGGAAAATAGACCATTTGAGAGTGTGTCATCCTCCAGCAGCCATTAGATGAAACGCCTTAAACCACGAGTCCCTCCGAACTTTTTTGTCCCAACCGAGATTTCTCCTACGCCGCTGCGCGCCAATAAAAACACGACGAACCGGGCACACACAACATTTATTCGTTGCCTGGCACCACCAGTCATTTCCGTCTGGGCGGCCAAGCTCCTGTTAAACGCGGTGGGTCAACCGTCGTCAGAACAAAATAGCTGGGAAATGTTAGGGCATACTCACACTAGCGTTTTTTTTTTCTAAATCGCAAAATCTGCTATGCTATTAGAGTCACACTACCTTCTTCCCCCGAATACAACGTACGGTCATTATAGCTGTATCTAGACTGAAAGATGCCTCAAATACAGCTATAATGACCGTACGTTGTATTCCGGGGAAGAAGGTAGGGTTTTCCGACCACCAAAATTGCAAACGGGGAAGCATTTGTCAGCGGCCTGGGGGGCGGCGGGGATGGGCATTTTGCAACCACCTAAAATGCCAACCACCTCGAGAGGTGGTGGCAAATTCTCTTTTGGCCGTCGCAAATTCTCTTTCGCCTTTTGGGAATTGGTAAAAGAAAAATTCTGCGCTTTGTGACCATGAGAGGCACCAATTTTGCAATTGCCAGAGAGTCCCTCTCGTGTCCTTTCTGATTTGCAACCCATGTGTGACCGGGCGGGGTATTATTTCAGCATGAAACCGTATTCACCTGTTAGCAGTAGCGAATGCAGATCCCAGGGCTCGATCCCTAGTCCTCACCTTACCTGTGTATAGTATCTGTGTCGACCCCGAGAGTTGAACCCGTGACCTGTGTATTTGAAACAGTTGGTAGACTGTCGTACGGTTCGTAGGTAGTAGGGGTTCGATCTGTAGACCTGTCGGGTAGGAGTCTTAGTAAGGTCTAGAAGTCACAGCTGTAGCTCTTCCGAAACGTCGAGGTCGTAGCTGCTACAGTCCTGAAGGGTCAAGGTCGTAGCTGCTACAGTAGCGAAGGGCCAAGTCCACGGCCTTCCGGAAGGTCCTAGGAGTGACCTTTGGGCCAAGTCCACGGCCTTCCGGAAGGTCCTAGGAGTGACCTTTCGAAGTTGCTCACGTTTCGGCTGAGGCAAGTGGGCAAGTGGTGGAGTCTACCCGTGCTGAGTCAGCAGTTCCCGTCCCAGTCGGTCCTACTCCAGTCGAGCAAGTACCGCATGGGACTGTGTGCACCACGGGCATGGGAAAAGGGTCAGACCAACGAGCCACCGATGTATAAATCAAAGGGCAGCGCCGAGCCATTCATTCATTCCTGCATGAGCCATGCGGAAGCGCTGCCACAGTGACTTGTGCGAGGTGGTCTGCAGTGAGCCCGAAGACGAAGTGGGTGAGAGAGAAGGAGCTTAGCCATAGCGATAGGKTAGCAGCGGCCATAGCCGCCATAGCTGTAGATAGAGTAGCGTGTGTGTGTGTGTGTGTGTGTGTGTGTGTGTGTGTGTGTACAGAGTATCGCGTGTGGGATATCCAGGGTGATCCTGTGTGTGCGAACAGAGAGTTGTAAAGGCGCTGTGCCGCCATAGCCATTTGAAGTGAACTTGTATCCGAGCTGCGTTCTTGGTTACCATATCTCTGAGTTCTGAGTGGGTGCTTGTCGCCAGTTTGCTGCGCAACCTGTTTGCATGCATGTAAAGTGTGAATGAAAGTGAGTCTGATTGCAAGCAAACACGGGAAAGAAAATTCAGCAGATTTTACTAGAATGCCACCGCTGTGTGAGTACGCCCTTAATGATGCTGTGAGTTCAGCTCTCCTGTGATTCTATCAGTTGTCAGACTGCTAACTTCAGATCTGAAAAGTGTCTATTCTCTCTTTTTCCTTTCAGGCCCTTTAGAGAGAGTCATGTTGTTTGCATCGGGCATCAGCACCTCTTAGGTGAGATAAAAAAAGATGGAAAGCAACTCAACTATGGCATGCTTTTATTTACCAAGGAACAAGCATACGAGCAGCATTGACACCAAAAATCTTGAGCGGGCGGGCGACAAATAAGCAACACAGGCAACACTACCAGCAACAACAAGCTTCAGTCACAGAGGATTACAAGCGTATGTGTTCAAACTTCAAAAATTATGTTCAGTGGGAAAGGGACCTGGTGAAACTTGAAACGCTATCGGCTTAGCGAATGCTGTGCAAATGGGGCCTGGTGCACATAAATGATGCACAATCAGATTCAGGGCAGCAGCAATTACCCTTCTTGGGCCCTGGCAAAACTTGTGAGGACACAGGATCTATGCATGTTTTCGAAACGCACTCATTTGTCTGCCTGTTGCTCTTAAGATAAGAAAAATAAATGGATATGAGCTTCACAGTGTCATCAATGCTCTACACCACCCAACAATTGCCCTAGAAGGATCAATTCACAAAAGATGATAGGATATCAAAATCTTGGCGAGCCGGATATGATTTTACAGAAAACTTTTCACAGATCGTGACATCCCCATCGTAAACATACCGGACAGGAGTCTTCGCCTTCTCACCCTCCTTCCACCCTTCCCTCCAAACTGGGACGCATGGGCGAGCCGGATGTCGTAAGATAAATTCGAACTCTTGCTCGTCTCGTCCCGTCCTGCAGAAAATCATCGCACATGGCAAGCAAGGGCTGTAAAAATGGGCACAGGACAGACATCACGCATGCCTCTGACCGACACCTTCAAGGTGTTCAGGAAGCCCTTCAAGGGTTTCTATGAGCGAGCAGAAAATAGGGCCTGGACAATGTGCGAATGCTCGGGGACCCTCTGAAAAAGGCGTTACATGGGAGCATTTTAAAGCCCTTGCCAGGGCCTTTCTGAGGCCATTGCAGAAAAGCCCTCTTGAAGCCCTTGCAGGGGTCCTTTTCTCCTATCCTCTCCAACTCAACTGAATGCACCACATTCAGATGATGGTTCTCCAGGACCCCTCTTGCAGTATCCCTCTCTCTCTCTCTTATCGCTCACTCGTTCCTAGCACTCTCAGTTGTATTCTGCTGTTTAACAGGTCAGTCACCCTCCTTCAAAATTTGAAGGGTCATGCTTAAGCTTGCTTAAGCTTATCCAGTCGATCTATAACTTCTAAAGCACATAAAAGTCGCGGGCTCGCACGCACTCAGAGCTTACCAACAGGCCAGCCAGGGGGTGGCCCTGGTTGCATACTTTTCCGGGCCAGTTCAATACGCTGCATGCGCCCGTGATGGATTTCCTCACCGGTAGAATGAATTTGCTATCTGATGCCATCACAGCATTTCAGACCCTGCAAGTGCCTCCCTATCTGATGCCATCGCAGCATTTCAGAGCCTGAATGTGCCTCCCTTAATAAAATGATTGGCAGCAAAGAGGTTAGGGGGGAAGGGTGAAAATGCGGGGAGGAGCCGGTGCACGAGGGAAGACGATGCGAGGAACTAGCTTAGTGCTTATCGATAGGCCGGCCAGGGGGCGGCCCTGGTTGCATTCTTTCCCAAGCCCATTCAATTCACTGCATGTGTCCGTGGTGGATTTCCTCACCGGTAGAATGAATTTGCTATCTAATGCAATCCACAGCATTTCAGAGCCTGAGTGTACCTCTTGTGATAAAAATGCTTGGCAGCACAGAGGTAAGGGGAAGGGTGAAAATGGGGGAATCGTCGCTGTACGAGGGAAGACGCCGTGAGCAAGGAGTGTCAGCTGGACCAGGTCATACCCTTCGCCCGCCCTGGCTGATGTGACCATTTGGAGACGGGGTCCTGCCAGCCTGCTGTTTGTTCGACCTTTAAAGGTCCTCCTACCTGTCGAAGAGATGTCAGGTATTGCATGATGCCAAAAAATCCAAAAGAGGAGAGCGCCTCAGACTAGCCTGAGAAGCCTCTGCATGCTCGTCAAAATCTGTGTTAAGCTTAGGTCAAGTGGTGGCCGAGAAAACTTACTTCCAGCACCAGCTCCAGTCGAGTATCCAGCGTTTCTTTCCTTCTGAGGATGGCGGTGGTGGAGGGGGCAGTGGAGACTGCATAGGAGGTGGTTGACAAGGAAAATCCACAGGAGGAGGAACATAGGGAGGTGGTGGGGACCACACAACTGCATTGATTCTTCTGTCAGGTGCTAATAGTAGGATATCCCCCAGCGTTAAATCATCACCAATCTCCACGACATCAGAGCCATCCTCAGACATCAACTGCAGCCTCTCCAGTTTGTCGTCTTCTCCAATGTGTCCATTGCGCTTCGCCTTTTTCTGAAACAAGCATACATTGGCATAGCACCCGTAAGGTAGAGAAACATGGACCACACAAATTTCACAGTTTCTACAGAGTAGAGAATACTGTGCACATGGACACGCACGCTATCCAGAAATTGTCATATAGCCATCAAGCTAGTATCAACTAAAGGACAACACTTTGCAAAACAAATCCAGAAAAGAGTCGACAGCATGAAGCACACGGAAAAGTTGTGTGTGTGTGTGTGTGTGTGTGTGTGTGTGTGTGTGTGTGTGTGTGTGTGTGTGTGTGTGTGTGTGTGTGTGTGTGTG